GCCCTCCATCTACTGCCCTCCATCTACTGCCCTCCATCTACTGCCCTCCATCTACTGCCCTCCATCTACTGCCCTCCATCTACTGCCCTCTACACACTGCCCTCCATCTAATGCCCTCTACACACTGCCCTCCATCTACTGCCCTCCATCTACTGCCCTCCATCTACTGCCCTCCATCTACTGCCCTCCATCTACTGCCCTCTATCTACTGCCCTCCATCTACTACCCTCCATCTACTGCCCTCCATCTACTGCCCTCCATCTACTGCCCTCCATCTACTGCCCTCCATCTACTGCCCTCCATCTACTGCCCTCCATCTACTGCCCTCCATCTACTGCCCTCTACACACTGCCCTCCATCTACTGCCCTCCATCTACTGCCCTCCATCTACTGCCCTCCATCTACTGCCCTCCATCTACTGCCCTCTACTTACTGCCCTCCATCTACTGCCCTCCATCTACTGCCCTCTACTTACTGCCCTCCATCTACTGCCCTCCATCTACTGCCCTCCATCTACTGCCCTCCATCTACTGCCCTCTACACACTGCCCTCCATCTAATGCCCTCCATCTACTGCCCTCCATCTACTGCCCTCCATCTACTGCCCTCCATCTACTGCCCTCCATCTACTGCCCTCCATCTACTGCCCTCCATCTACTGCCCTCTACACACTGCCCTCCATCTAATGCCCTCCATCTAATGCCCTCCATCTACTGCCCTCCATCTACTGCCCTCCATCTACTGCCCTCCATCTACTGCCCTCTACCAACTGCCCTCCATCTACTGCCCTCCATCTACTGCCCTCCATCTACTGCCCTCCATCTACTGCCCTCCATCTACTGCCCTCCATCTAATGCCCTCCATCTAATGCCCTCCATCTAATCCCCTCCATCTAATGCCCTCCATCTACTGCCCTCCATCTACTGCCCTCCATCTACTGCCCTCCATCTACTGCCCTCCATCTAATGCCCTCCATCTAATGCCCTCCATCTAATCCCCTCCATCTAATGCCCTCCATCTACTGCCCTCCATCTAATGCCCTCCATCTAATGCCCTCCATCTAATCCCCTCCATCTAATGCCCTCCATCTACTGCCCTCCATAAGCTGCCTTTCACGTTGCACGCGACCAGCAGATCAAATCTTTGCCATGTTGACTAAAAACATGCTCGCTAATCAACGGCTTCGGGTGTCAGTTTTTAATTTATCAATATAAAAACCTCGCTGATTCTTAAACCGTTTTTTTAATCACGAATCGTCTGTTTGAATCAAAAATTGTATTTTTAATTGTCTGTTTTACTGATCAGATGTTGTGTTTCATTGATCATTAACTACCAATAATCGATTGAGGCGAAGACATTTTTTTTAATAAGGCAATAATCTGTAAATTAAAAGATTATTTTTTTTTAAATTCCGATAATTAGCTTCATCTCCAGTGTTTCTTCCAGACTTTTTTCTCCGGGGGGGGGGGGGCACTTGAAATTTTCGGGGGGGGGGGGGGGGGGCTGTAGACTCTCTTCTGGGGGTGGGGGACACTGTTAAAAGTATATATTTTCTATATAATTTTCATTTTATTCGGAGGACGGAAGACTTTCTTCGGGGGGGGGGGGGGGGGCTCCGAAGAGATGCCTGGAAGAAACTCTGTTCATCTCTTTCATCCTAGTAAAGTTCTTCTTGAGATTAAGCGATCCAAAGGGCACATTAAGTAGACTTAATTTAGAGCTGGGTGAACTCAAGAACGTTCTACAGTCATAAGTCCAAACCGAGATCTGAACTCGAGACATCGGGCGGGCAACCAAACGCTTTTTCATCCTAGTACATTATTTTGTAAGGTCTTAAACCTAAAATCGCACCACTTAATCCAACTTTTCTAAAAAAACAAATGCCACTCATTTTTTTTTCAAAACAAACCGTTGCGCACCCAAAGTTTAATTGGAAATTTCCGATTCCGCCGCGTTTGTTTTTATTTTTCTTCGGATACTAAACGGAAAGGATTGGATTGCAGCGGTGCTGTTGACGCGATAAGGAAGTGTGTATATTTTGAGAGACCAGTGTGTGTACCTACCCAGTGACCAGCCTGCGGAGCGCGTGACGGCTTGACCAATGAATCTTGACGGTGCGCGCTAGACTGAAAGACAGCCAAACGTTGGCAATGTCTTCATGACCATGTCCGCCCCGTCGTCCAGAGTCGCATCGCCGGAAATAGCTAACTCCGCTACAAATCAAACTTCCTCTGTTGTTTCAGTAAAGAATTTTTACATTTCACTACTAGGCAATTATGTTAATTTTAACACGTTTTTTTTTTTTAAATCAGGCATTGTATTATTACCACGTAGGTCTATATGGCCCTTAAAGATATAGATCTAGTTCCAATCGTATCCGCGTTTTCCAATCTTTGTTTATAAATAAACAATACTCCTCGCCTCAGAATTAGCATCAATAGATCATTTTACTACCATCAGAATTAGTGGACTTAATCAATAGATCATTTTACGTTCTTAAGAAGAAGATCTAGTATTGTTCAATAATTTTCTAGCACGAGTATAAATATCACAACTGGCATAAAGTTGTTATGTAAAACTTATATTTATGTAATGTTATTCTAGAGCTAGCAATAAGTCAAGTGTACCAAATGTAAAAGGCTAGCAGTAAGACAATTGTACCAAGTAATCTTGACATATTTATACTTTAAATTAGCATTACATTTTTAAAATCAACTACTCAAACAATTCTCTGAATGCTTAGCGACCGTACACTTATTCTGAGAACTTGTTTATCCTGTTATTATGTTGTGTAATGTGTGGTGGAGGTTCGACAGCAATGTCATTTAATTTTGTGGGGAAACCGGGTTTTTTGTCGTGTTGGAGTCTATACATAAATGTGATTGCTTTTATGTTTTAAAGATGTTTGTACAAATCTGTGATCTAGTGTCTGTGTATGGGGAGGGGGGGGGGGGTAGAAGGAGGTGGGGTGGTTTGTTTGATCACCGTTTCATAATATGAGGGTAAAAGTGGGTATACTGGCTGTGTTAAAGTAATATGGTAAGTATGTATATTGGCTGTGCTAATTAATATGTACACGATTCCGTACTTGCTGTGTTATTAAAGTAATATGTTAAGTATGTATATTGGCTGTGCTAATTAATATGTACACGATTCCGTACTTGCTGTGTTATTAAAGTAATATGTTAAGTATGTATATTGGCTGTGCTAATTAATATGTACACGATTCCGTACTTGCTGTGTTATTAAAGTAATATGTTAAGTATGTATATTGGCTGTGCTAATTAATATGTACACGATTCCGTACTTGCTGTGTTATTAAAGTAATATGTTAAGTATGTATATTGGCTGTGCTAAGTAATATGTACACGATTCCGTCTTGACTTCAAGATGTCGTCTCTTGTTTCTTTTATACCTGTCACCCTGGCGAGGCCGTTCCCAACCCCACCACACCCCATCCACCTCTCCCTACAACAGCCCTAAGAAAGCCTCGAAACCCTATGTACCTCGCGAAACCTTCTGTACCTCGCGAAATCTTGTGTACCACGCGTTTCAACCAGTGCTATGGTAACCAACGGCCTCATGTGGTAAACCCATTGCATGAAGACAAGCACTCAAACAAGCACAAGTGGTTTAAAAATGTATAACGCCCACCAAACCCTCGCAGTCATCCGACTAAGCTCCTATCCATTTCACCATCTTTAGTTTGACACAACCCCTCCATTTGTCCAATTAATTAATTAGATATCTACACGATTGGTCAGAGATTAGCACCCAAGATTTGGGAGAACTTTTCTTCTCCCGGATGTATTTGTAATGGGTTTTTTTTAATGTATCTATAACAATCTCCACTTCACGATCTATTTGTACTAGACAACTGGTAAGAAAATAGTTGCATTTGGTCATTACCATTGCTACAATTAGACATTCAAACAGTTGAAAGAGGATATTAGAAGAGCTACATTTAGTCATTCAGTTCAGCTTGTAGATGTAATGGTAAGGGGGGCTTGAGGCATTTTAGTCCAGCTGTAGTTGTAGTAGCTGGTATGGATGATGCAGCAGCTGATGGTATGGATGATGTAGTAGCTGATGGTATGGATGATGTAGCAGCTGGTGGTATGGATGATGTAGCAGCTGGTGGTATGGATGATGTAGCAGCTGGTGGTATGGATGATGTAGCAGCTGGTAACATAGATGATGTAGCAGCTGGTGGTATGGATGATGTAGCAGCTGATGGTATGGATGATGTAGCAGCTGATGGTATGGATGATGTAGCAGCTGGTGGTATGGATGATGTAGTAGCTAGTGGTATGGATGATGTAGCAGCTGGTGGTATGGATGATGTAGCAGCTGGTGGTATGGATGATGTAGTAGCTGGTGGTATGGATGATGTAGCAGCTAGTGGTATGGATGATGTAGTAGCTAGTGGTATGGATGATGTAGCACCTGATGGTATGGATGATGTGATGCTGCAGCTGGTGGTATGGATGATGTAGCAGCTGGTGGTATGGATGATGTAGCAGCTGATGGTATGGATGATGTAGCACCTGATGGTATGGATGATGCTGCAGCTGGTGGTATGGATGATGTAGCAGCTGGTGGTATGGATGATGTAGCAGCTGGTGGTATGGATGATGTAGTAGCTGGTGGTATGGATGATGTAGCAGCTAGTGGTATGGATGATGTAGTAGCTAGTGGTATGGATGATGTAGCACCTGATGGTATGGATGATGCTGCAGCTGGTGGTATGGATGATGTAGTAGCTGGTGGTATGGATGATGTAGCAGCTAGTGGTATGGATGATGTAGTAGCTAGTGGTATGGATGATGTAGCACCTGATGGTATGGATGATGTAGCAGCTGATGGTATGGATGATGTAGTAGCTGGTGGTATGGATGATGTAGCAGCTAGTGGTATGGATGATGTAGCAGCTGGTGGTATGGATGATGCTGCAGCCTATGGTATGAGGGTGAGTACTGACGTGTGTCCCTGTGTCCCCAGATGAGCGCGGCCACTGCAGCCCATCGGCCCGCCCCAGCAGCCAACAGGCCCGTGCCGGCACCTCACTCCGACGTTAGGATGCGGAACAACGCCAAACCCGAACACCAGTCAGACTCAGCCACCCAGGGCGGGGGCACGCCCCCTGCCTCCCCTGGACAGGAGCCCGTCAGGACCTCAAGGGGGTGCTGCTTTTGCTGGTCAGTGCTTGATGTGTCTGTTTGATGTGTTTCTCTCAGTGCTTGATGTGCCTCTCTCAGTGCTTGCTGTGTCTCTACTAGATTTGTCTCTGTTTGCTGTGTCTCTCACAGTGCTTGCTGTGTCTCTACTAGATGTGTCTCTGTTTGATGTGTCTCTCTCAGTGCTTGCTTTGTCTCTACTAGATGTGTCTCTGCTTGATGTGTCTGCTTGATGTGTCTCTCTCAGTGCTTGCTTTGTCTCTACTAGATTTGTCTCTGTTTGCTGTGTCTCTGCTTGATGTGTCTATACTTGCCGTGTCTCTACTTGCCGTGTCTCTACTTGCTGTGTCTCTGCTTGCTGTGTCACTGCTTGATGTGTCTCTTTCAGCGCTTTCTATTGTAACATGGGGCCTGTCATTGCATGAAAAAACACACAGAACATTAGACACATAAACACACATAGGGATACACTGTCACATACAGACTGATGTTTGTATGTATGTATATATATAAATATAAATATATAAATATATAAATATATAAATATATAAATATATATATATATATATATATATATATATATATATATATATATATATATATATATATATAAACACACACACACACACATATATATATATATATATATATATATATATATATATATATATATATATATATATATATATATAGGCCTATATATATTTATATATATATATATATATATATATATATATAAAATATGCCTATATATAAAAATATAAACACAAACATGTATATACATTCAATATAGACAGTTCTGTACGTGTGTGTGTGTATGTGTGTGTGTGTGTGTCACTTCATCTGAAGATGTGAATTGACCCTACTGAGGTCACAGAGCTTGTAATTAGTCTGAGAATCACGCTGACCTACATTTTCCCCTGGCGCATCGATCCATCGATCTACAGATCTGCTTTCTTTGATTGGCCGTAAAGACAAACATGAGCCCCCGCCCCCCCCCCCCCCCCTCCCGCTTGCCGCCATTTTCTTTTGATGATGGACAGATAGAAACAAATTGCTTCCTCATAGCTAACGGTGTGAGCCACATAAGGGATACCGAACCCCACATCAGTATCTAACGTATTACAGTGATACCGAAACCCACATCAGTATCTAACGTATTACAGTAATACCGAACCCCACATCAGTATGTAACCTATTACAGTGATACCGAACCCCACATCAGTATCTAACGTATTACAGCGGTACCGAACCCCACATCAGAAGTTCTAAATAATTCAAGCGCGATTAGATTTGGTCAAGCATCAAGTGTTGTGGAAAAGATAACAGCCATGAATGGTTGAATAATTTTTTTTATAAACCTGTCCTATTCAGTGTTGTTTTAGTTCAAGTCATTAGTTATCCTTCTATTTAGTTGACCACACAACCTCTGAACACAACCATACAACCTCTCTCCACACAACTACACAACCTCTGAACACAACCACACAACCTCTGCACACAACCACACAACCTCTGAACACAACCATACAACCTCTGGACACAACCATACAACCTCTCTCCACACAACCACACAACCTCTCTCCACACAACCACACATCCACACAACCTCTCTCCACACAACCACACAACCTCTCTCCACACAACTACACAACCTCTGCACACAACCATACAACCTCTTAACACAACCACACAACCTCTCTCCACACAACCACACAACCTCTGTCCACACAAAATCTACCCTGAGATCACAAAATATATATACTACTGCATCTGTCAGTTTGATGTCGTGTCAGTATTATCATTGTGAAGTGCCAACAACATGTAAATTCTGCCTGTAACTGCTGTCAACTGCCACATCCCAAAAGATGGACGACATAGAAACTGCGACAAACGAAAGAAAAATTCCGTGTTGGCTTTTTTTTTTTTACTTGACACATCTTTGATGGGGTCGTTGAACAAAAATGGATTTTCCGCGAAGCTGCTTCCAACAACAAAAATGGATTTTTGTATTCCGCGAAGCTAGGACCAGCAAAAATTGATGGAATAGATTGGTATCGATTTTTGTAGACAGACACGGCAGCGCTGAGAATGACATGACAAAAAATTCAACCTGACATGACAACAAGTACAGATTGATATGGCTACATACTGAGAGTGACATGACAACAAATTCAATCTGGCATGACAACAAGTACAGATTGATATGGCTACATAGTGAGAGTGACATGACAAGTTCAGACGGACCTGACACTAGAGGGAAAGTGATATGACACTAGAGGGAAAGTGATATGACACTAGAGGGAAAGTGAAATGACACTAGAGGGAAAGTGATATGACACTAGAGGGAAAGTGATATGACACTAGAGGGACAGTGAAATGACACTACAGTGAAAGTGACATGACAATAGAGTGAAAGTGACGTGACACTAGAGGGAAAGTGACGTGACACTAGAGGGAAAGTGACGTGACACTAGAGGGAAAGTGACCTGACACTAGAGGGAAAGTGACATGACTGACAATAGAATGAGAGTGACGTGACAATAGAGTGAGACCTACGGGACACTAGCTTGTCACCTTGTGTTGGGGAAGGGACATATGTCAAATCTAAACATGAAGAAATTCAGTTCCATACATCATGCAGGAAATGTTTTGTGGGAAAAACCCGCATTGTCGGCCTCGTCCGTAGGAAGTATGCCGGCCGTAGGAAGTGAACTAATGACTAATCTATACGTAGGAAATTAAACAAAGCAGCCTCTATTGATTTTTTTCTGATCGCCACTTAGGAGATCGATTCTCGATGGTCACAGAAAAAAGCTCAGATTTCAAGTACTGGAGCAGTTCAGACAGACAACAGACAGACATAGACAGACAACAGACAGAAAGACACAAGCCTGTGTTGCTACCTGGAACTCCCGGCACTGCTAGCTGCGGGTCAAGAATGTCCCATCAGTGCTAGCTGAATGGGCCCAGAATATCATGTCAGTGCTAGCAATGGTTCCAGAATATCATGTCAGTGCTACCAATGGACCCAAAATATCATGTCAGTGCTGCCAATGGACCCAAAATATCATGTCAGTGCTACCAATGGACCCAAAATATCATGTCAGTGCTACCAATGGTTCCAGAATATCATGTCAGTGCTACCAATGGACCCAAAATATCATGTCAGTGCTACCAATGGTTCCAGAATATCATGTCAGTGCTACCAATGGACCCAAAATATCATGTCAGTGCTACCAATGGACCCAAAATATCATGTCAGTGCTGCCAATGGACCCAAAATATCATGTCAGTGCTACCAATGGACCCAAAATATCATGTCAGTGCTACCAATGGTTCCAGAATATCATGTCAGTGCTACCAATGGACCCAAAATATCATGTCAGTGCTACCAATGGTTCCAGAATATCATGTCAGTGCTACCAATGGTTCCAGAATATCATGTCAGTGCTAGCAATGGTTCCAGAATATCATGTCAGTGCTACCAATGGACCCAAAATATCATGTCAGTGCTACCAATGGTTCCAGAATATCATGTCGGTGCTGCCAATGGTCCCAGAATATCATGTCAGTGCTGCTAATGGTCCCAGAATATCATGTCAGTGCTAGCTGAATGTCTGTCAATAGACCCAGAATATCATGTCAGTGCTACCAAAAGGCCCAAAATATCATGTCGGTACCTGCTTACCTGCTGGCATCAATGAACTCGTTAACCTCAGTCCGCTATGACGTCAGAAGACATGGCGTTCTCCTGGTTTCCGGTTTTGGTTTCACAACGTCCCACAAGACGCCGCCCATCTCTGTCTGTGGGCAGACAACCGGTGCCTGGTCGGTTCCATTGTGTTCACGGCGTGACCCCTGACCCCACGTCACCTGGCTCGTCTGATGGTCCAGGTAGCTTCAGACATTTTCTCACCTGTGTGTTGTGTAATCTCCCACGTGCGGCCGTCTGCAGGGTGCCACCAACCGCTGCCTTTGAATCAGAGAAATCTGGCAGCGATGCCATTTGCCTGTTGCCAGAGATTGTTCCGATTGTTTTTCTCCAAAGGCGAGGCCAAGTTTTTAATCAAGCCTTGTTGATAAATGGAAGAACCAAACCACGATACACAACTGGCTGGTGCGCCATGGCTTAGACGTGTTGATAAGCATGTTAAACACAAGATCGAATGATTGGTGGAGTAGATCTTTCATAAGTAGATCTTTCCGTTTTCATGATGAAATAGATCTTTTAGTTTTCTGATGAAGTAGATCTTTTGTTTTCTGGTGAAATAGATCTTTCGGTTTTCTGGTGAAGTAGATCTTTCATAAGTAGATCTTTTAGTTTTCTAGTGAAATAGATCTTTCACAAGTAGATCTTTTAGTTTTCTGGTGAAATAGATCTTTCATAAGTAGATCTTTTAGTTTTCTAGTGAAATAGATCTTTCACAAGTAGATCTTTTAGTTTTCTGGTGAAATAGATCTTTCATAAGTAGATCTTTTAGTTTTCTGGTGAAATAGATCTTTCATAAATAGATCTTTCAGTTTTCTGGTGAAGTAGATCTTTCAGTTTTCCTGCACGCATATGTAAAAGAGGGTGAGCTGGCTTTTGCTTGAGCTTTGCCTAGTGTGTAAGTGACTTACAACCCACCTGAACATAACTCGGCGCATCTTACGTCTTGCTCACTGTGCACAGTTACCCAATGAAAACTACGCACACTAAGGTACAGTGCCTACACAAATGGTACATGATACTGTGTGTTCTGCTCAAAAAACCTAATCTATAAGGAAAATGTGAGATCGATATGAGAACATTTCTATCGGACTTGTTGGCTTTACCTAGAAGTCTGTGGTTCCAGTCGAATCAAACAACCGCGCATTCCGGAAGCTGACATCTATTTATAGCACACAATAAACCAGGAAAACTTGGACTAGAAATATTTCACTGTGTAGGGCTTTTTTTCGGAACAATATTTCATCTGATGGCTTGACTGTAGCTTCAGCTCAGAACAAGAGTACGTCTCTACAGTAGACAGGCGTTC